TGCAGGAGATAGACGGACCCATTGTTGAAGAGCGGGCCAACTGTTCTTGCTCTGGTTGTTCGGACATGGCCCTTTTCACAGTTATCATTCGGTTACGTGAGGGCTTTGTGTCCATGGCAAAACGACAAGCCATTAAAGTGGATATGACAGAAAGATGTGTGAAGTGAATATGATGTTATTGATGTCACTATGTGGTTTGTGTAAACTATACTGTGTTTGCAAAGTGAGAGATGTGCAGTATCAAAGCTGCATGGCAATATAACAGGCCCAAAGCCCAAATGTGAAACTGTTGGACATTCATGAAGGATTTAATTGCTTCTGTGCTATCATACTCAGCATAAAAGCTCTATTTGATCATCATTCTGGTTACAGTGTACTCAGACTCACACTTCAGATCACCATCAAAAGTAAGTGTTTAAATAAGAAATTGTATGTACTGTAATTTGTTTGTAATTGTCCTCACTTTGTTTAAGAAAAGAGGACCCAACTGTATTTGTACACATAGTTGGAATATATAGTTACAGTCCAGATCATTATTCATTAATGAGTGACTATTGGAATACTGAATAAACAATATAATGTGGTGATTTCTAAGTAAATATACATTTGTTTGTCATCCACAGTGTTTTTAAGACTGCAGTGTGCGTCATTGTCTCCTCTCAATGTTGCTTGTCAAAATGTCCCTTTCATTTGTCATCTTAAAATGCAGTTTTAATTGGGAGATGATGTGATGCAGCAACTGTTATGGCTGTAATCTTTCCTGGGTTGAATTTGATTTTGTAAGTCATTAAACAAATTATGTTTTTAGAAAAAAAAGAAGCAGAAACTCTCTCTGGATAGTGACGACAGCAGGATTATTATGAGGAATTGTCAATTGATGCAATCATAGAAATGTTCTTGGCAGCAGTGTCATTGTCACATGTAAACTCAACAAAATAAACACATTTGCATTGTAATGTGTCCAATACCTTTGATAATATTCAACTGAAGCACCATTAGGCTTAGTATTGGCCCTCCTTTAGAAAACATTGTTTGGATTATCATGGTTTACAGAGCCTGTGTCTGCCCCTTTTGCCTGGCATGCGTTATCTGCAGTCGCAGCTGTATGGCACCAAGTACAGCATATCCCCCATCTGCTGATCCAGTCATGCACTCCTTTATTTCCATCCCTCTCTTTCTCCCAAGCCCACCTGACGGACCCAGCGGAGGAGCTAACCTGCTACGAACATGGCTGCTCCACAGCGTTGGCACCAAGCAAACCCTTTCCCTTCCTGGAAGAGGCTGCTCTACAATCTGCATGGGCTGGCTGATGGCTGCACTTAGTTCCACTCCCTCTTGCCAACATGAACAGGCCCCCACTGGAAACGCTTTAGATGATGTGCCAGTGTTCCCACTATCCCTTGAATGGCCATGAGGGTATTCAGCCAAAATTGCTGGTGCTGCTTTGGAATACGCCAAATAGTTATTCTATTGTTGAAGCTGACGTCCGCCACCAGGGAAGAAGACTATTCCAAATGTATGTCATTGGCCGGGTATTCCTAATATTGGCTTCTTTATATTAGCAACCAGCCATGCTGTTTCTTAAAGCTGATCGTAGTTAGAAACTCATCAGAATTCCTATGATATGACTCGCACACATATGGTCTACCTGGATTTTCTGAATGCATTCATCATTCTGCCATAATTGCATGAACTTACTAATACACAGCAAATGCTACCAGAAGGGAGTTTGGTACAACATAAAGCTGATTAGCATGGCTGCAGAGTTGGAAATCACAGTTGGCAATTACGCTGATACAATTAAAGCAGCAGCAAATATACATTTACATTCCTAACACATTTTAGATTAATTGAGATGCTCATGAATGTTAAAAGTAGAGCATTTGTCCCACTTCAGAAGTTTCCCGTTCAAAATGAGCTGTATATAAAAATATTACTGCTTATTCAAAAGATAAGAGCTGCTGTTCCTGTTTGATTTAGTAACTTTGTTTGCCAGAAATAAATGCACAGCATAGACAAAAACTAGAAACTAAAAGGGAACGCAGGGGACCTAGGGGGAAAAGGAAGTCATTGTGTGCTTTTTGCCTGATTAATCAAGCCTGCATTGAACTGCGTCACTAGCAATACATTGTTCTATTAGCATTGTTTAACAGGAAATAATGTACTCTGTGAGGAAGGGTCAGTTGGGGAAATGATAGTGAGAGACAGAGAGTGAGGGAGGAAGAGGAGCACGTTAAAAGGAGGAAGGTCCTGGGTGTGTAGAAAGGAAGCCAAAGCCTTCAGGGACTCGGAGTACAAGGCGGCAAATCTACTTGATGAAGTGCCTCCCTCCGCAGCCCCCTTCAACAGTCATTTCCCTCTAGTGCGCACCAAGCCAGAGCCACATACATCTTCCTGTTGAAAAAGATCTCATTAAGGACCAGTAGATGGGACGTCACTTATCTTTATCAAACATACGCATAAGTGCCCCCTTATGATGCCCTCCTCCCACTACCCCCTCTCTCCCAGACTTAAGACTCAATGTCTTAAAGGCAACTCTGTTTAATTTAGCTGCATAAAAAGGCAGATGGGAGGTTAGTCCAATGAAATGGAACAACTTTCTTCATTACTAAGCAAATGGCATGGTTTTTTTATTTCTCCGGCAAAGACTGGTTTTGGGGGGGGGGATCAATGACACTGTAATGGGCATAATTAGCACTATAAAGTGGAAGCGAGAGCCATGAGAATACTGAAGTGAAGGCTGATTTTAATGTCGTAAATTACACCTTGAAGCATATTTCTACTACATGTTCCGACAAACCTGTTAAGTAAGTCAAGTGTCCTTTATATTGGAGGTTGGGTTTTAGTAGGATTAGTCATTTACAGTAGTGAATGGCCCTGAAAATGCCCCATTTCCCTAAAGAATTAGAGGTCAAGTCCCTTTCACATATGAAAGGACCTTTAAGACCTCGTGAGCGAGTGAAAAATGGTGAAAGTGTATCTGACTGAAAGACAAATCAAATGAAACTTTCTTTCCCCTCAATCACTAAGCATGAAGAGAATGTTTAAAGGTGAGTGACCTGCTTAAATTCAATTTCCATCCTCAAAAACGATCTACATCCTCATAAAAAGGTTATTCAACATGTTCAGAATGGCAATTAACATAAGCCAAAAGAGAAATGTCGACCGCAGCTCGCTCAGGAAGCTAAATGAAAGGAAGTGTGATGAGGCTGGGGCTTTTCTCTACCTCTGTGTCTCTCAAAGTTCTTGGAACCACCTTGACACTTCGTTGGTTCCTACAATAGGGACATTTGCCTCATTTACAAGTCACATGCCATCTATTGCTCGCCATTAGTTTGTATTGCCATTTGAGTTATCCTGGATGTAGCAGTCCCGTTGAATATGCACATTCAGACATCAAAGTAAACAGAAATCACTACTGCTTATTAAAAGTATTAACACGTTGTCACTTCTGCTCGGATTCAAGCATTGTGAGGCACAATACTGAACCAGCAAGCTTACAACACTAAATGCATCTTTAATATTAAAACATACAATTGATCATAGTGATTTAGAAGCACTAGGCCAGGATTTTCTACTTTGTTAATGTTGTGCAATTTTCCCCTTCCGAGTAACCAATATTGTGCCTGTCCCATGTTGAGTTAAATGCAGTGGCATAACTATCGACGGTGCAACAAGTCAGCAAGGGGCCCATGCAAAAAAAAAGTATATCTATTTTTTTAATATATATATTTTTTGGGGCCCCAATGGCATTGACCGGTTCACGCAGTCTTCAAAGTAACCAAGCAACTTAAATTAATTTGTAATTTGTCTGTCCAATGACCTTGCTCCCTTTCATGGCATGTGATACCTTGGGAGCGAACCGTTTAATCAACCTGCACTATTTACACACGGC